CTGGTCTAAATGCATTTAATACCCTTGTGTTGTTGATAGGTACCTTATATATCACTTTTGACTAAGCATATCTACTATCAAGTCGTGTAGTTTGTTCAAAATGTTCCAAATACTATACTAGTTGTGGGTACTTACTAAGTTTTGCTCAGTTTGTCTAAAACAAATAGAGTTTACAATAAAGCCAACCTAAGCAAAATCCTTTGTCTTGAAAAATCTAAAAGTAACTAGATTTTGAAGCTTATTTGAAGACAAGACAAGAAAAAAGACCTCCAACTCTGTATTTACGGATAAAAGAAGTGTAAATTTTTTAAAATAATTTGTTTCGAGTGCACAACTTGAGCACAACCAACAAAGAATTTCATCCCTTTTTCTCTTCTTCTACATACTTTTTTAATGAATTTAACTTGTTCTCACAACAACAATTATGATGATGATAATTTCCATACTTTTTTTTATCAAGTTACAGCCAAGCGGAAAATTTCATATTCAATGTGGATTTTGCACACAATCATAATCTGTTGGACCATTCAAATCTCCAAAAATGAATTAATAATGTAAAGTTTTTTTTGCAAATATTTTAATTTCTTTAATGGAAAGTGAAGTGCAAAAAAGGCTCGCAATTTAGGATTAAGGAATTTTTGCATAAAAGAGAATGAAAAGTTTTTGTCAATGAGAAACTCATTTCAACTGGTTTTGGAATTATTTATGTGGAATATGAGAAGCAAAAAAAAGGATAAGAATTTTGTTGAGTGAAGAAAAAAGTGTTTCAAAAGTTGTTTATCATTTGCCGGTTCAGGCAGGAAATTGAGGTGTTGCTAGTGATGAACCTTTTTGGAATTTTAAGGCAGTGTGTATTAAGGGGATGCAAGGCTCCCCATTAACTGCTTGACCATGAATAAGGAAGTCTTGCCTTTCTATGAGTTTCTCAAATTCCTGACTTTATCCCTGATCAAAAGGATTCTTACCTATTTTTCTGTTAACTCAAAAATCATGGTCAAAGCACTCCGACAAGCTATGATTTAATTTGTGGAGATGACGAAGGAATTTATCCTTGAAAGATTCCATCCAAATACCATTAAAATGTTAAACAAAAGAAGAAGAATGTTTGGAAGCTATTCGTCAAAAAAAAAGTTCAAATCATTTCCCCATAAGACATTAAACAACTAAATTAAGTCACAAGATACTATTTCATTAATAAATAATCGAAATCAATAGGCACAAGACATGAATAATGCAGTATCAATACGAAATTATTAATTTACATTTAAATTATTAATTAACATAAATTATTATAGCTCAAGTAATGACAGCAAAATTCCTGCATTCAACGGAAATTGATTTTGAATTAGAATTTTTAAAATATTGACTCACCATTTCGAGTATGCGGCAAACTTCGTGGAAATAGAAACGACTGCAAATGAATGTGCATTTTCAATTGACTTCTGTGTAGCGTATTTGTAAATTTTTTAATAGGAATATTAAAATGTCCTTTAGAATTTCAAATTATATTTATCCAACATGCATGATGTGTCTGGATTTTATGTCAGAAAATTGAATGTGTATCAATTTAGTGCTTTTAAATTGATTTGATGTTTATTTGCAGTTGTTTTGTATGAATATTAATGAAATTTTAATCAACGGCAAATTGAATTTGTTGAAATTATTTGAGCTTTGTAGATTTATTATCAGTTTTGTAAAAGATTTGCTTGATTTTTGGAAATTTTATAAAATCCATTTTTTTTTCAAAATTTTAATTTTTCAAAAATTCCATGTTTATAAATTTCAACTTTTTAAAAATTTATTAAACTGAAATTTTAAAACTTCAAATTCACCAGTTTTCCAAATTTCAACATAGAAAAGCAGACCAAACCAAGTCAAAATTTATGGCCATTCCCACCGTATTACATTACATCCATAAATTTATACAAAGTTAATCGACATAAAGATATGCATTAATTAAGATATAAATATACCGAAAATTAATGATTCGTTCCCAAAGCATGTCCTGACAAATGAATGTATTACGATAATGTTTCCGTCTCCAATCGAGCATTGGATATCTTTTCAGAAAGTTTAGCGCGGTAAAAGTTCATTTTTCTTGTTTTTTTTCGAGGATGTGTCAACCTTGCGATGATATTGAACTTCCTTATCGTTTAAATTTCCTCTGTTGATGGAAGTTTGTGTATTATGTAGCTTAATTGAGTGGGTTTGGTATTTCTTTGGAATTCTTTATCAATAATTCAAAAATGTTGGATTCTTTAGAATCAAATTTATATCAACAACATGTCGTACATCAAACCACACTCACGTATATCCTTAAACTTAAATTAGACACCCACAAAATGAATGACGAATAAGAAAAGCTTAACTTCTTGTTTTCATAAAAGTAATTAAAATTATATGAAATGAAATAAACGTGCAAACATGAAAACCAAATTGATATTTAATTCCATATGCCTCAATCCTAACATTCAAACAATTTTGTAATCAACAAATTCTCATGAAATTCTCTGCTTTTGTGAAACTTTAGAACTTTAATTAAAATTGTGAAATTAGCTTTAGGTGAATTTGCAAACTCAAAAAAATCCTTTCAACATTTTCCAGGTGTATAATTAATAGTCAAATCAATTGAAATTCGCAAAATCTACTTTGAGGAGTTCCAAAAGCTCAGCTTTTGACTTTTATATTCCTTGACTGAGGAAATCATTACTCATTTATTTTATGTGATTATAAATTATCCACGAATTCCTTTTTTAATGCACAAATTTTATATTTATATATTTTTTTTGCAATTTCTCTTTTACCGCTTTTTTTTCATACATAAAAAAAAGTGAAAAGAAAAAAAAATTTAATGCAAATTTTCTGTTCCGATTTTTAATACTTTTTAAGCATTTAGTAGAAAAAATTATTCATAAAAAAAGGCAGGAAATGTTATTATTATTATTTTTTTAAATTAAAAGAGACTTTCCATTAACTTTATTGCTTCAATTATAAAATCATGACTCGGTCAAGTATGGAAATTTTTTTAATTAATTTTCCGATCAAGCGAGATGCACGAGAGTATGAAAAAGCATATGAAGAACGAGTAGCAGAGAAAAAAAAAGTTGAATATATAAAATACTATTGTATATAGTGATTTGTATATGATGCGGATGGATGAATGGAAAATGAGTAACATAAGCGCACCGAAAAAAAAAGGCTGTAGGATGGAAAAGAAAACATACAGAAATAATGTTGCGAACAAGAGTGTGAGAAAAGGCAAAAATATAAAATTTTGAAAGGATTCCGGTTAAGCTTTAAATTATTAATCAGGATTCCATTTAATTGGTGCTCATAAAATTGTACGATACGTTTTGTACATCATGCATGTTCACATATCCACAAAATGATTTAGAGACACACACAGAGACTTTTCTTCTTGAAGATAAATTGGCGTCGAGATTTGAAGAGATATTTTATTTTCATTTTGCTGATTTTGCTACATGACTAACCCATTTGATAGTATGTCGGGTCTCTATGGAGCTATTTTTGGTTACTTCTAATCCACAATATCTCATCCTCACCCCGTTCAACTCATCTCGACTAATAAGTAGCAAAACATACAATAAACATACATACATATGCATATAATGTACGGTTAGTCGAGAGCATTATGGTGCTTGAATGCTTCTGCATAAGTAGCTGACATTGCTTGATATTTCCCATCCCACTCTCAGTATAATATTGTTCTTCAATACCTCAAATGCACAGATATATAAACTAAGTACTTTCATTCTTTTTTTCGTACATATATATATAGACAGACTTTCAAATATACGTAAATATCTATGTCGGGGAATAGATGGTAGGGAAATAATTGAGCATGGAAAAATGACATATCTTCTATGCATCATCATAATAATAATAATAATAAGTATAATAATAACAGTAAAAATGATAAGAGTCCATGGGGGAGTTTGCATTTCAATGCATCTACATGACTTGATATTCATATCCATTTGAATAGCTCTACCCTCATACTGACTACCCCCCGAGAAATTGAAATGAGTGTAAAAAGTGTGATAACGATAATAATAATGCTTTTAAAGTGAAAAATGCAATTTACATTTCATTTCATTCTTCCACTATGACTATTTTTTTGTGTGTCACTTGAAAAAAAAATAAAGCTATGCTGCATGAAACTTTTCTTTAAGGATTAAGTGAAAAAATGCTTTTTTATGGTTCAATGTTGGATATTTTATTCAAGGAGATGAAACTTTATATGAATTATTCACATTTATTGATTCTTTGATGCCCGCAGGGTTGTCGATGATTAAGTTTGTGTGTCTTAGAGGAATTTCGGAGTTGATCTGTAGATCAGATTACCTCTGCATGACCCCCTTTGAAAAATTCCTCGTTCTAAATTAATAATCCCTAGTGACTTGAAAATAATTAAAAATATTTCATTATATTTTCATAAGTTGCAGAATCAGCACATTGCTCCACATTCTTACAATCCTGTCCTATTATGATAATTGTGCTGTTTTGTTTTATTCAGATTATTTTTGATCAAGACATTTGTATGTCAGATTTGCAACTACATGCACAGATGCTTCTAGCATTTAAAATTTAAGCTGATATATTCATGTTGCAAGCACATTTAAAATTCATTGGATGTGAATAGAAAATCAACTCTGAAGAGCTGACAAAAATCGTCTATTCATTTCCAAAACGATAGCTATATATACAATTAAATCAGACAGTAAAGCTATCATATAGTTCCGTTCTTTTTGGAGAATGTTGGCAAACTATTAGGATACTCAAATATTGATCTTTCCATTAAATACACACCATACTGAGCTGAGTTGAGCTTCATCCCCTTGATAATATTCATCTTACTATAACAGAGCAGCCAAAACACTTTCATTACTTTTTCCTGTACAGCCATATAGAATACATTTTATTATCATATAATATTATCATCATTATTATTAATTTTAGTTCCTTAGTCTCTATCCTTCTCTCTCTCTCTCTATCTCTCACTGCTGAGAAGTATAATGGAAGGCGAGTAGTAGTGGAGATGAAGAAGATGTAAGAAATTTATAATAATAACCATAATAATACCCAAAGAATTAAAAAAAGAAAGTGATTACATTTGAGAACTATTAAAAGAGTTTTAATAAAAAATAAAATAATATTAAAAAGGAGTGAAGAAATCAAGAAAGTGTATGAAAGTTTAAGAAGCTAAAAACAGATGTAAGGTCTGTTGGAGCAAACACATCAGGAATATGATGGGTTTTATTAGAGTGTACTATCTTTTTATGATTATTGTGGATATCTCGACGAGCGTTAAAGACGGTAAGCAATAATATTAGTTTAATAGTTTGTAAATGCAGACACTGAATGAATGTTTAAATGGATGAGAGTGCTGGACATTAATAATTGATATTCATTGAAAATCATGTCATAATGTTCATTTTTATGTTTTGACAAATATTCCATTAATTTATTTATTTTGGCGTTCTGCCTTTTATTCAGTCGAATAAATTCTTGGAATTTTATTTTATGAAAAATAAATTCTCTATAGACAAAAATTTTTTTTCGATCAAATTGGTAATAAAATATGAAAATAATTTTTTAATAGCACAGCATGAGATCAAAAGACTTTGAGTGAACTTTAATGTCCAGATTTTTAAAAATTTAATATGAAAAATTGAATTGAAGCCAAAATGGATGTGAATTTTTTTATTTGATGTATTATCAAATTTGCTTATCGCATTATAACAGTATGGGGGTTATTTATTATGAATGAATTTAGTAAACGTGCTGAATTTCTGTTTGAAAATTAATTTAAATTATTAGTTTTCTCCTAGCAATGAAGCAATGACTTTAAGTTAACACAAACTTGAGATTTTGAAAGATTATCAGTCTATATTAAAGATTGGGGAGGGGGGTCATGTTGTGTCAAAAATAGCTTCGACTTAATCAAAAAATGAACACATATTTATTATCCATTAACCCGAGTAGCACAAGTCGGATAATCGAGACGAAATCCTAAGTCAGAACAGCCGGGGCGACCCAAAGGTACCGTTAAAATCGCTACTCTTAATTAAGAGTCATTCCAGCCAAAATCCTTTAAATTCAATAGTTCAAAACAGAGGTCGAAGCGAACTTGGTTCGCCAAGTTCGCTTCGCTAAAAATTCAACTTGCCAAAGTCGAACTGTAGCGAGAAAAAATTTTTTCTATTCGCCTTAGCGAACCATAGCGAACTCAATTTTATTTTTTTCGCTATAGCGAACTATTAGCGAACTTAATTTTTCAAAGTTCGCTATAGCGAACTATTGGCGAACTATAATTTTTTGCAAGTTTGTATGAAATTACATACTTCACAAACGCAATTAGACATCTCTTTACATGAAGCCAAAAAATTTTTTCTAGTTCGCCAATAGTTCGCTATAGCGAACTTTGAAAAATTAAGTTCGCTAATAGTTCGCTAAAGCGAAAAAAATAAAATTGAGTTCGCTATAGGTCGCTAAGGCGAAAAGAAAAAAAAATTTCTCGCTACAGGTCGACTTTAGCAAGTTGAATTTTTAGCGAAGCGAACTCGCTTAAAACTCGCTTCGCTATGCTCGCTTCGACCTCTGGTTCAAAATCGTCTTCACTCGAGCATTTATAAATGCAAACATAATTTTCCAATATAATCCCATTTTCAACAAACTTTACGCACCATTAAATTTAAAATGTAAAAAAAATCTGAATCACGTTTTATTCTCTTTACATTGATTATATTATAAGCTTTCCTACCCTCACTGCAATCTTACGTACACATTGAATATCATTAGCTCCAAATTACATAGCAATTGAGTGCATAATGCTCACTGTTCAGTAACACAAAAAAGAAAAGTTTCTCATCTTTAATTTTTCACTTTGATTGATGAGAAAATCATCGACTTTTTGATTTATTTAAAGTAAGTCTCTTAAACTGTGGATGCGATAAAAGGGGATTTATCGCGACTTTTAGGAGTGTTTTGGGTTGGAAACGAAAGACTCTTTTACGGATAAAGCGTTAAAAAGTCATTAGCAAGTTTATGGGAGGTTTGGTGCCTTTATATTCTGCTATTTAAATAAACACACTTCAGTCTTGTCAACAGCACAAACACTTTGCAAAGAGCCTCAAACATTAAACTATCATTATTTGCTGTTCAATCAAGGAACTTGAAAACTTTCACATGACAATTTTCCAATTTAAATAAATTATTTCGATGTTAACATGGAATTTATATAAATAGACTCATTATATGCTCCGTGGTGACGCTCATGAAATCTTTTTATATTGAACATCAATGTTTATATTGTCTACGCTTATTATGAATACATTGACTTTTTTTGATTTTATCATATAATTTTATAAGCGACTTATAATGAAATTTGCATTTTCATTTCCAATTTTTTTTTTTCGAGGACATGAGGCAGTGGTGCTCTAATGTTTTTGTGACTATCTTATTCAAAAATTATAATAGGAAAGAAGGAGAGTTTGGGGGTCCTAGCAAGACCATTCTTAGAAGAAACTTAAAACTTAGTCAGGAGTTCAATCTTAAAAAATTGTTAAACACTTGACAAAACATCCAGTGTGTCGCATCACACAGTTTGAGAACTCCTGCCACATGAGAAATTTTGAATATTTTCATCCAAAATATTCTGTATGAAATTGACTCTTCAGTGAAAATTCCTATATACAAAAAGTGATTCTGTATTGATATACCAAAAGCTATAAGTGGGCTTAATAATAATCATATGCATTCGAAAGACTGTCATAGCTGTCGTATCGTTAAACACGATACTGAATAATTTATAAAAAAAAAAAATTCCATGCAAAAATAAATGTGAGAGAAAAATTCGACATAAATTCTATATTGTCCATTGTTGTGGACTAATGAAACCTAAATTTGCTCAAATTGTCACATAATTTTCTTTCACAGTCGAGCTTATCATTATATTTTCCATTAAAATTTTCCTTTTGTTCGTGGATTATATTTTGTCGTGATTCTAGAATTTATTTTTTAACATTAAGAATAATGAGAAGCACAAGCAATGACTTTAATTCCTTAGAAATCTTTAAAACGTTACTAAAAATGTAGTCGTTCTTTATTATTTATTCAAGAATTCAGTTTCAATTCAAACATTGTTATGAAGATGTTTTTTTCAATCATAGAATATGATTTGCCATTATTCTACATTGAATACATGATTATGTCAAGTATTACGAAATCAATTCTGAACAGTTTTTTCTTCTCTCTATTGAATAATAATGGAAATATTTATATGAAAAACTATTTATAGGGACAGACAAATTGTATGACAATGCTAATATTCTTCCTTTAAGTTTATGTTTATTGAATTTATACTTACTCGCAGCTCTTTTTTATGTGAGACAGGGTGTGCTGGATGTAATTTGTCAGGCTGTTATGTGAATTTATTAAATCATAAAATAATAAGTGGTTTATTTGGAATTGAATGATGAGACATGGTTGGATGTTTATTTACAGCAGTGATGGACATCCTGAATTTGTTTTTTAATCCTTAGCAAATTGAAGAAGTTTGTCTGTTAAAAATGGGTGGGGGGATCGGGTTGACCATGGCTACGCCTCTATTCAAGATACAGAACTGCTATTTATTCTACAAAATATCATTCCTAAAGAATAATTTATTCACACGACTTATAGACACCCTGTGTCAATAATTCTCACATCCTACCCCATAAAAAAAAATCTGATGACTCAAACGACATTTTCGCAAGCTGAGTCAAGCAAGCCAGACCGAAAGCATTCCATCATGTGAAACCTTTAAGATTTTATGAGAACATTAACATAACTCGAGGCTATTGTCACATGTTTTAATGGGCCCCAAACGACATTTGTATCATAATTCACACAAAAATTCAGCAAATTCTCTGAATAGCAATGAAAATGCGTTTTAAGTGCTAAACATTTTTGTGCTTACTTCTTGTTCAGTTGAATACTTTCTGTCGTATTTATCGATGATTATCGCGAACGGAAAACTTTTTATTGTTCTCACCTTAAAAAAATTTCCAGTGCAAAAAAAAAGTTTTTAAGAATGAAAAAAATAAAAAGACGAATGAAGGAACTACATGTTGCTTGTCCTTTCTCATAAAATTTTTCACTTAAGCTTAAAATCATAACTTCTTCTATTCCTCTGTCATTGACATATTTTTCCTCGCTCAATCTACAAAGCGGAATTTTTTTCTTTTTTCGGATAATAACCTTATCATTTATTTATGAACAGAGGCTTACATTCATGAGAAAAAAATTAAGCGACAGATTTTATTTTTCTTCTTTAAGGAACGACACACTTTTTGTAGCACACAACTTTTTCTCAAGCGCATTTCATTTCTGGGGAATAAAATTATTATTATGAAATTTATGCGACAAAAAGAAATGATAAAATGCTTTGAAGTTTTGAGTAATGAATGAAGGTGTATTTAATCATTGTCAGCAATTTTTCTTGCAGCCTAAAATGGTGGCTTAAAGTTTATGGAGAACTTTTTTTTGGGAGCTTGAATGCGATATTTTTGCTAATGTCAAAACACGTACAATGAGAATTTTATTTGATTAATTAATAATTTAAAGCCATAGCTTCTAAACAACAAATGCTCGGTTTTAGGAGCCACAAACCAAAAAATCATATTACAAGGGTTCAAATCCTAAACAGAATTTATTATTCAGAGCTATTCTGAGCTAATCTCAATTAGAAGTTGCATCTTCTTGTCAAGCAAACATGCATACATATCCAAAAGTTTTTCATTTTTTGAAGCAAGTTGCACTTTATGATATCCATAAAGAATGTTAAAAATAGACATACCATCTGGCTTGTACAGTACTTTATCAAAATGTTTCATCATTGCTTATAACGACTACAAAGTGATGCCGTAAATAAATTCCACCTCAAGAGACTAATTACTTGCTAAAGAAAACATGATGCACAGACTGACAGACAAGACGAAGACATCGAAAAATCTCCTTTGAGAAAATGCGTTTATAGCATAAACAGAAACGATACTGTGAATGATATGGGCTTGGTAAAATTTTTGAGATGTGTTCTCTTTGATGCTTTAGTCGAAGGAAAAAGTTTTGTTCCATTTTCTTCTTAAAAATTATATACACACATAAAGCAGAAGAGGATAAATGGAATAGCAGAAAAGAGAGAAGAACCAAAAAAACTGCTTTTTCAATTAATTATTCTTTTTGAAATGAAATGGAAAAACGAGAATGAACAAGAAATTTATTTACATTCATTTTTTCTAGATTTAATTAATAATATTCCTCCATCATCTTGTGTA